AAAACCCATCGCTGTGAGTTAACCCATGAGTACACAGCGGGGCTCCTGGAGCTAGATGATCTGGAACATTTTAGCAACAGGACATGGAAACTGCTTGAACCACGCAGTCATCGAGGCCACTTAGGGAGAGATGACGTCTGTCTGACAGCCAGACTCTAAAAATACCATGTTGGATATAAGCACATGAGTAAGGGTTTGAAGGCATTTTTTTCTTTATTCTGGGAAAAGGTTTGAAAGAACATCTTAGTTACGTTATTGGTGAGAAATGGTTCTGAGAACTGGGAAAACGAGAGAATTATGATTGTGTGTGTGTGTGTGTGTGTGTGTGTGTGTGCGTGTGTGTGTGTGTGTGTGTGTGCGTGTGTGTGTGCGCGCGCGTGCGTGTGCCTGTGGTGTGCATGTGTGTTCACTTGACACACAGGATTGACATATGTATGTATGTATATGTATACAGACATCAAAACAAAACATGGGGGCCTTCTCTGGGTTTCCCCACTTTACTTCATGACACAGGCTCTCTCAGTGAACCTGGAGCTCACTAGATTTTTCTCTCTCTAAACTGGCAGATCAGTAAGCCTCAATCATCCTCCTGCCTCAGGCAGGTGTGGCCATACCCACCTTTTATATGGGCGCGGGGGCTCTGAACTCAGATGTCCAAGCACTCTTACTGAGCCATTTCTCCAGTCCCTAATCTGATTTTTTTCGTATTTTGGTTTTTGTTTTTTGTTTTGAGAGGAACTAGCTCTTATAGACCAGGCTGGTCTCGAACTCACAGAGATCCGCCTGCCTCTGCCTCCCAAGTACTGGGGTCAAACGTGTGCGCCTCCACTGCCCAGCCCTAATCTGACTTTTGAAAGCACGGGATTGTGATAACTGTAAGTAGAAGGGTAGAAGGGGAGTGAAAAGGCAACTCTTCCCTTTTTTGTTGTAAGTTTCAGTTTTATGTTTAAGATAGGGTCTCTCTGTATAGCCCAGGCTAGCCTCAGATTTGTTCTGTAGACCTGGTGGGTCCTAGAAGGTATAGTCACTGTTTCTTATATGTACACAATATAATGTTAACCTCTCTCTCTCTCCCTTCCCTCCCTCCTTCCTTCCTTCCTTCCTTCCTTCCCTCCTTCCTTTCTCCCTTCCTTCCTTCCTTCCTTCCTTCCTTTCTTTGAGACAGGATCTTCCTACATATCCCAGACTGGCCTCAAACTCACCATCTTCCTGTCTCAACCTCCTCAAGTGGTAGATTACAGGTGTGTGTTACCATGTGTGCTCACTAGTATTGCATCAACTTGAAGGGCAAACTCGAGTTATCTCAAAGGAGGGAATCTTAATTGAGAAAAGGCCTCCATAAGATCCAGCTGTAAGGCATTTTCTTAGTTATTTATTGATGGGGAAGGACCCAGCCCCTTATGGGTGATATCATCCCTGGACTGGTGGTCCTGGGTTCTACAAGAAAGCATGCTTAAGCTGGGTGGTGGTGACATACTCCTTTAATCCCAGCACCGGGGAGGCAGAGGTGAGTTAGAGGGTAGCCTGGTCTACAAAGTAAAGAAAAAAATAATCTTGAAAAAGAAGTAAGTAAAGAAAGCATACCGAGCAGACCATGAGAAGCAAGCTAATAAGCAGCACCCCTCCATAGCCTCTACATCAGCTCCTGCCTCCAGGCTCCTCCCCGTTTGAGTCCCTGTCCTGGTGTCCTTCAATGATGGACTATGATGTGGAAGTGTAAGCCAAATAAACTCTTTCCTCCCCAAAGTGTTTTCGGTCAAGGTGTTTGATCACATTAATAGAAACCCTAACTAAGGTACTATGGCTATTTTACAATCCAGGCTTATTTGAATAAAAATCATGTAATTGAAAGAGCGTAAACATTGGCACCATACGTGTGTGAGTGTGTGTGTGTGTGTGCGCGCGTGCGCGTGTGCGCACGCACCCGTGCACACGCGTGCGCGCTGTTTTGAGGTTTTGTGAGAGAGTTTCAGGCCAGCTGTGAACTAAATATGTAGTGAAACTCCTGGTCCGGTCCTCCTGTCTCACTTCCTCAACGCTGAGATTCTAAGTGTATAACACATCCGCATTGCTTTTTGGATTTTTTTGAGGCTGATTCTTACTCTACAGTAAGCTCTTAATCAAGCTCTTAATCCTACCTCCTCAACCTCCTGAGTAGCTCATGCTGTGGGAGTACCAGTGTATCATGGGTGTTTGAGAAACCCTAAGACTGCCTGAGCATTAAAGAATGGAGAGAAAAACCACTAGCAAAGGCTGTGGACATGGCTTAGTACGTAAAGGGCTTGTCCATCGACAGTGAGGACCTAAGTTCAACTCCTAGAAGCCATGTACAAAAGCCAGACCTGGCTGTTTACACCCTTAACCCCGGCACTGGGCAGACATGAGGCTGCTTAGAACTTACCGACCAGCCAGCATTAGCAAATCAGTGAGCTTCGAAGTACAGTCCTTTAGCAGGAGACTATTAAATGTCTTTCAGTCTTTGAAGCTTCAAGCCACACTCTGTTATAGCCATTGCCTCTGCCCAGCCTGAGCCGGGCTCTTCAAACTCAGGTAGCCATCAGGCAAGTGGTAAGAAAAAGCAGTAGAAAGGGCTGTGGTGGGACTGGAGAGATGGCTCTGTGGTTAAGAAGATCACTTGTTGCTCTTGCAGAGGACCCAGCCTTGGTTCCTCCAGGCATGCACGACTGCCTGTAATCCCTCCCAGCTCTGGGGGATCTGTCTTCAGGACTCCTTGGGTACCTCGGCACATAAACTCATGCTGGCACACATACACACACAAATAAATCATTTTAAAATAAAGGTCTGTGGTATGTGAGCAGTCACTTTCCCTGTTTAGAAGAGACTAGCAGCCACGCACAAGGCCATCAGACCTGGTATGATGAGATTCCTATATGGCCCTCGAGAAACATGAATCTATTTAGATTTCTCTGTGACATTCCGATCACTCACACGTTGGCTAGTTAAGACAAATGGTGTGGGACAGCAGAGCATAATTGCGGTGAGGCCTGAATGACTAATGTGCTCACAGTGTGATTCAGAGACACAAATTACCCCAGAGCCTGTGGAGGGTTGGCTGGCAATTCCTGTCTTCCCATGTAGCAACACAAAGGAGGTCTTTTGGAGGAAAGAACCCAGATCTCAAGTCTAGCACCCTGGGTGGGAGGGGGTGACATTCCTCTCATTCTTTGGCAGAGGAAAAGCAAGTCAACAGCTTAGTTGGGTCAGTGCTAAAATGCCCCCAGAGGCAGTGATCAGGCAGGATGACCTCAATTATCACTATGACCTTGGCCATAGTTGAAAAGGGTTGATTACACTCAAGACGTGCCCCAAATTCTTTGGGAATGGGAAAGGAGAATGGCTACTGTGTAAGACACCCCAGTAACAAAGGGTAAGGAGTGCAAATGTCAGGGTTCATGTTTACTAAAGAAATGCGATCCTGTTAACTACATTACACTTTCTACTCCTGTAGCCATGGTTTCTGTGTTTTGTTCTGTTTGTTTGTTTGTTTGTTTTTCAAGACAAGGTTTCTCTGTGTAATAGTCCTAGCTGTCCTGGAATTAGCTCTGTAGACCAGGCTAGCCTCAAACTCACAGAGATCTACCTCTGCCTTCTGATTACTGGGACTAAAGGTATGTGCCACCACCACTGGCTAGGAAATGACCATTTAAAAAAACAGAGAGAGAGAGAGGAATTAGTGAGCCCAGCATTTGTGTGATGTCTTCCAGCATGTTTTAAATTCATTGTGTAATTTGAACTTGTGTGGATGGATATATATTTTTTAACCTGTTCATTCTGCAAATGAGGAATGCTTATTTATTATATACATATATTGAGACAGTCTCATGTACTCCAGGCTAGCCTCCAACCAGCCAAGGTTAATCTTTAACTTCTGACCCTCCAGCCTCCACTTCCCAGGTGCTGATGTTACACGTGCACTTTACTCGGCACTGAGCTTATAAGGTCCTGGAAAATAAGCCCAGGCTCTGTGCATCCAAGACAATGGTCTCCCAAGTGAGCTGGCTCCAAATGGGGCATGTTTACATCATGAAGCATATAATATGGAAGAGGAGAAGTGACCTACTTAAATTAAGGTCACCATCAAAGGAACATAGGTCATAAATCTTTATTTTAAGATTCCAGATCCTATAACATTTTTTATTAAAAAAAAAAACAAAAACAAAAACAGAAACAAAGCTATGATTTTGATGTTTCCCAACTTGGGTGTGTAGAGGCAGTAGGTATAGATAGGTATTTGGGGACTTGATTTTAAGTTTAAGTTTATGTTGACATTACTTTGCCAGAAATCAATAAAAAAGGAAATGGTGGATTCCCGGAGGTTTTGGTATCTCTCACATTCTTTAGTTTTCAACGATGAATTAATCAGTACTTCCCCCAGGGCCTGTTAGCTCATAAGTACAACAACTACAAGACTGTGAATCCTCATAGGCTGGCCCACTCTAATAAAAGCTTCATGTACTCTGTCTTAGAATTCTTGCAACAGTCATGTGTGTGCGATGGATACCACACAATAGATGGAAATAAAGCTTAGAAATATAACTAACTAATAAGATTCAGACTTGGGATTTAAGCCCAATTTTTGTAAAATACTAAAATAAGTGCTTTTTCTGTCATCTTGCCCTGTAGAAAAAGTATGTCCTTTTTGTAATGATTGAATCAGAGTAGCTTGCTGGTTGGCCATTTTAAGAATAATGTTTGGGACACACACTAAGTCTATGAAAAAAATGGACAAGTAAGTGTGTGTGTGTGTGTGTGTGTGTGTGTGTGTGTGTGTGTCTGTCTGTCTGTGTCTGCGTGTCTGTATCTGAGACAACATCTCATTTACCCCAGACTGGCCTTTTTATATAGCCTACAATAACCACCATGATCTAATTCCTCAACCCCTCAAGTGCTGGGATTATGGGCATCCGGGGCAGGCATTTCATCAGTTGAGCTGCATCCCCAGCTGGAGCTGATGTTCTTTCTTTCTGTCATTCCTGTAGGTCTGTCAGTTCGTCGTCTCTGTCAATGGGCTCAACGTGCTGAATGTAGACTACCGCACCGTGAGTAACCTGATTCTCACTGGCCCGAGGACAATTGTCATGGAGGTCATGGAGGAGTTGGACTGCTGAGCAACAAGACTTCCCTCCCCTCTGATGCCCTGTCCCAGAATAGCACGTCAATGACATGACAAGACTGCCAGACAAATGGATAATTGGGACATACAGATCTTTTCTCTGTCCATACACACCTTGGCTTACATGTAGTGTTTGAACCGGGTAACACATCTTTAAAAAACAAAACATAGCAGGAGTGTGGTGGCTCACGTCTATCATCCCAGCACTCAGGAGGCCGGGGCAGGCGCAGGGTTGCAAGTGCAAGACCAGCCTCAGCTCACAGTGGGAATGCCTGCCTCAAAAACCATGCACGCATGCACACGCATGTGCTTGTGCCAATGTAGATGGCACAGGGAAGCAGTTTCCCTATGGTATGGGGTGGAATTGCCTTACTAGAGCCCAGGCCGTGGTTCCCAATCATTGGTTTTCATGTTTGCAGAAAGGTGTTGAAAAGCCAAAATAGCAACATGGGAAAATGTCTTTCTCAGAAGTTCTTAGGGTAGTTATTACATGGTTTACGTCACTCCCATTGTACTTTGAAGGTAGGGATAATGAAATGTCGCTAGCGATCGTGAATACTTAGGACACCGAGGCAGGCGCAGGATCACTTGAATTCTGGTGGCTGAGCCAGCCTGGGCAACACAGTGAGACACCACATTAACAAAAAAAGGCTTTCACCAAAATTAACCAGAAGCTGTTAGATAAGTCTAGATTCCACCAGCTTCAGATGAAAACAGAGTCCCTAGGAATGTGACCCGCTAAGAATGTCCAAGAAGGTTCTTAAATGCTCAGCAGCGTAAAAGCCATCAACACAAAGTAACTTTCCTCTCTATTTAGATTTTCTTTCTTTCTTTTTTTTTTTTTTTTTAAAGGCAGGGCCTTGGTAGGTATCCCCTGGCTACTGACGCTTCCTGAATTTCTGCCTTTATCACCAATTTCAGCTTAACCTTTTTTGGGTTATGACGTGAGGTGAAAAGTAAAGTGAAGCTTTGTGTCATGGACGGTGGGGGTGGACAAGGAGACGATGCACACAACTGCCTGACCCTCTTTTCCTCACTGGGCCTGAGTTCTTTCTCCCCATGAATCAGCTCCAGCAGCCTTCTGGAGTTTATTTGAAATGGTCTGGGTGTGAAAGCAAAGAGGTGTGTCCACACCCATGGAAGACTTAAACACACACACACACACACACACACACACAAAGCCAGGCATGATGGCTCACACCTATAATCCCAACATTTTGGGGAGATGAAGTAGGGGGATTGCCATGAGTTTAAGGCCAGCCTGGGAAACTTTGTCTCAAAAACAAAAGCAGGCAAAATAATTCTAGACAGAGTTTCTCTGTATTGCTTTGGAGCCACCAACACCCGGCTAGATTTTTTTTCTTTTTCTTTTTTTGTATGTTTGTGTGTGCAGTGTTCTATGTTTTGAGGATGAAAAGAAAGATAGTTTTCATTTCTATATTAGCACTGTATGTGTAACTTGGAAGGCCATCTTTTGTTGAAATGAAAACTGCCATTGTCCTTTATTGTCTTTGCCTTCTGCCTTCTGGGGTTTAATTACAACGAGGTATGGTGGCCCACAGCAAGGAGAAGATTCTTGCTGGAGAATGGAGTTTGAGGCCACTCTAGGCTATACACAAAGACGCCATCTAAGAAATAATTTGTTAGGCCTAGTATCTCTGACCCCAGCACTGCAGAGGCAGAAAGATCGCCCCATCTAAGGCAAAGCTGGGCTACATGCAATACCCAAATGAAATAATAGTTAAGTTGAGAAATGGGATAACATGAGGAAGACAAGCCATCTCTGCCTAAATGGGATGTGACTGACTTCCCACCATCATGTGACAGGTGGTTTCGTTGGGGTGGGTGGGGGAGGGACAAACACCAAGTTAGGAATGTTTCTGCTTTCCATTCAGATGGGAGTCTTCATTTTCCAAATCTTTCCTCTCAAAAGCGTTGTGGAGATGGTCAACCTCTGAGGCCTATTTTAAAATGTTGGTAGTGACTCTAATCTACCGGCTACTAAGAATTAGTCCTATTTTTCTTTCGACTATAAATAATCAGGGTAACTCCAGAGCACTTCGGTGTTGCTGGCTGGTTGAAGTTGATTGACATTAATCATGATTTCCTGTTACCTGAACTTCAAGTGAGGTGTATATTTCTTCAATTGCAGTACCAAAAGGAAAAAAGAGCTGTGTGCCAAAATGAAATTCATTATCAAGGATCACATATAGCATTGTTAAATGAGATTTTTTTTTAAGTACCTAATATATAGCTTTATTTTAAAATTTGGTGAGAGTGATTCGCTATCTTTATTAAATCTGTACTGTAAATCTTAAGATGATCATATGAAAAGATAAAGGCATAGCATGAAATAAATGTTACATTTTGAAAAATGACTTTAAAGTTTGGGCCTTGTCTGTCTTTTAAAACAAATTTGCCACTTTTTGCCCAAAGAAAGGGCTGCACTTCAAGCTGAATTACTCACTTGACTGAGAGGACACATGGTCCTGTCTTACTTGCTAAAGTAATGTAAATATGAGTGTGCTCAGTGGTAGACATTTTCTTGCAGGCAGAATTTTCCCATCCCAGCAGCCACTTTCAAATTACCACACAGAGACTTATATTAATTGCAAATGCTTGGCCCATAGCTCAGGCTTATTACTAAGTAGCTCTTAAATTTTAAGTTAATCCATATTCCTTATCTACTCTCTGCTACATGGTAGTACTTTTATTAGCATGGCGTGTTCATCTCCTGCTCCCTCTGCATCTGGCCGGTGATTCCGGATTCTACCTTCCTTCTTCCCATCATCCTCAGATGGGCTTTCCTGCCTAACTTCCTGCCCAGCTACCGGCCTATCAGCTTTTTATTAACCCATGAAAGTAATAAATATTCATGGTGTATACAAGGATTATTCCACAGCATTTTCTGAAGGTTTTCTGCTGGAAAAAAAGGAATGCATTAACAAGCTTTCTTCTTACCTGCCTCATGTCCACTCACTGCCTCCCCATGCAGGGAACTCTACAAAGCCCAGGTCTTCCAGAGGGAATAAGGGGATATATTCTGACCTGACATTATCCAGGACGTAGATTCAAGTCAACACAAAGGACATGTTTCACAGTGGCATGGGGGTAACCTGAACTTCTCCTTGTCACAAAACAAGAGAGAGGGCCGGAGAGATGGTTCAGTGGTTACAAACACTTGCTGCTCTTTCAGAGAAACCTAATCCAGTTCCAACATCCACACTGGGCAGCCAAAAACTGCCTTTACTGTAGTTTCCAAGGTTCCCAAGTGCTCTTCCGGCCTCTGCAGGTACCTGCACAACTGTGGCACACACATACGTGTGTGTGTGTGTGTGTGTGTGCATGCGCGTGTGCATACGCATGTGTGTGTGCACACATGCACATCCATACTCAGGTCCACAAAATAAATCTTTTTTAAAAAGTCATAAGCCAGTGCCTTACTCAGAAATTAGGAATGGATACCAGGCAGGCAATTACAGTAAAGCAGGGAACAGTGTGCTTCGGGTCTCAGATTCCATCTGGGGACATTCCTTGCTTAGGGGTTGGTTACATTCCACAGGTTTTACCTAACGGTTTAAGATGGACACTCAGGAGCTGGAGAGGTAGCTCAGGAGTTAGGAGCACTGGTTGCTCTTTCAGAGGTCCTGAGTTCAATTCCAGCATCCACATATTGGCTCACAACCCTCTAAAACTGTTGGCCCGTGGGATCTGATGCCTTTTTTCATGTGTGCAGACAAACACCTATACCCATAAAAGAAACACGTTTTTGTTTGTTTGTTTTTACAAAAGAATGGTCGATCAGATACAAAGACTGATGATAAATGGCTACTAGTGTGTCTAAAAAAGCCCAGGATTATTTTGATCCTAAATCTTAGATATTCTAACTCCACAATCATAAAGTTATACTCAGTCGCAAACTTTAATCTTTCTGAGGGAACTTTAGATTATGGAGGTCATTGTTGGCAGGTATTATCTTGTGCCTCTAATCTATTATGTATTTTTTCAGTAAAGTGAGAAATACATAACTTTGTGGTGTAAGAGAGGGCAAATTTTCAGGTACATTAAGAGATGTCAACCAAAAGACGGTAGATTTTTTTTTTTTTTTTGTCACTTATCTACTTCATTTACTCCATTCATTCATTCAAAAAACCTTACTGAGGATTTTGGTATTGGGCATTGAATGTGTCCTCTAGGAATATTGTCAGTATGCCCCTGCATCCACTGTCTCATCCTTCGAGGCTCACCTGTAGTCCTATCTCCTAGAAGTCTTTTCCCCATGCATTGGGTATTACAGAATCATGCGGCGGGGCATATTGGCTCATGCATGCCTGTGCTCCAGGAAGCAGAGGTTGAGCAGGAAGTTTGCCATGAGCTAGAGGCCAGCAGGGTTGCCAGCAGGAGCCTATCAAAAGAGTAAACAGAAAGTAGAAAAGAAATGGCAAAGTGCTATAAAGCGCTGCCCAGCTCAAGAATGTCCATAGGCCAGGTGGTGGTGCATGCATTCCATTCCAGCACTTGGGAGGCAGAGGCAGATGGATCCCAGTGAGTTTTGTGGCCAGCCTGGACCATAGAGTGAGTTCCAATGCAGCCAGGGCTACACAGAGAAACCCCGTCTCAAAATGCTGACAGTAGTTTTATATTGCTTTTGCTTTATTTTGTTATATTATTCTAGTAGTTTACATTTCATTCACTATATACCTCACCTTATTCACACAGTGGTGAATAAGGAATTTGCTGTCCATTTGTCTTTGTTGTTTGGCTCTTAATTTTTTTTTTTTTTTTTTTCGAATGATCTTTATGCTAAGGTCATCAGGTTGGGTGTAATTTTCCGGGCCTTACTAGAATTTTATCTGGCTTCAATTTTTCCCCCCCAGATTTTTGTACTTGCTTATTTTTTCACGAATGTATATATTTCTGGTCACACATTATCTATTTTGTCAACAGGCCTATCAAGTGTGATGGGGAACAGAGCTGTAGCCCTAAGCTGCTGCCTAGGCAGTGTTTGTGTTGTGTCTTTCAGAGACCTCAACTTAGTTGGAAGCTGGGGGTTTTAGAACACAGAGAAGAATTTCAGAATAGCACAGTACAAAACAGAGTTGGAGCTTATTTTAAAAAAAGTCAAGTTCTTTGTCATATAA